TGTCCTGGACTTCCAGTGGTGGACTGATGATGACTCTGCTTTCAGCAGAGCCAATGTGGAACGAAAAGCAGGGAATGGATCAGTGCCTCAAAATTCCTCTCCAGATAAAGGGGAGGACTTGGGATCATCCACAAATGCTCCATACAGAGGCTCCCCATGAAGAAACTGTAAAATAGCAGTCTCTGGCAGGCTTTAGACCTCTGGGAGCCAAGGGAAAGTCAGCTTTGCCCAAGCCATGGTTTGGACCTTTCAAACAGACACTGGATTCACCCACATCCTTTTTAAATCACTTCTGGAAATTGCTTGTTAACTGCTTTTTGAATATTAAGAACCTTCAGAACAACAAGTTTCATCATACTAAGTGATTCTCCTTCAATCCTTAGTGAAAGAAGTTTTATGTAAGTTTTAGGACTTAATTTTTTTAAATTTTGAAATAAACAGCAAAAGGGTACTTAGAATATTGATTCTGGAAAGTTATAAATGGACCAAGGGGCCAGAGGAATTGGAGATTTTGGAATTAATTATAAGAATCCTTCTGGTTGGTTGTTTAAAATCCTGTTAAAAATATATAAAGATTTTGAATCTAAGGGTAAGAAATCTTCCTGTGATAAAATGTTTTGGATTAGAGAAAAACATCATAAAAGGAGACTTTGAAGGCTGGACACTAGAGGCAACCAGAAAGAACTAAAGATTATAATTAAAGGATAAGAGACCCACTAATGCAGAATGAGAAAAAGATTTTAACTTTGGAAGAATTCAAGGATATTTGGGAACAATGCACTCAGAAATTTCTCTCAAGATTGCCTGCTACCATAAAAATGGGTTTAAAAGAGGAGATAGAAGATGATACAACTGAGAATCAGGCTGTTTTGGATGTGGATTTAAAAATGACAAGTTACAAGAATGATATGGAAAAAGATGTTACTCTGGATTTAGAAATGAAACCAGCTGATGTCTTAATAACTAAAAGGGACACACAAATAATAAATCAGAAGAGTGACTTGGACAACTTTCTTATCTTGGACTTACAAAAGAGATGTATTATATTCATGAAGGAGTTCCTGAGAAAAGACAAAGAGAAAAATGAAAAGAAATCAGCTTCTGGGACACTATTTAAAGGGAATAAACATCAAGATTTTTAAAAGCAAAAGGAAGGAATATAAAGTTGACTTATTTGATCAAGGTTAAAATACATAT